TTGACGCTTCTAGCACATTTCCTACCTTGTACCAGTGGGCCTGGTAGGCCTGTATGGGATCGGATATGTGTTATTTAAGGGATGATTTCTATTTCTAGTTCCTGTAATTCAATTAATAGTAAAGTTAATTCTGAATCATTGGGAATAAATTCAACAGTTTTAATATGTAAAAAATCTTTCTGCATATTGAGAATCAGTAAATATATTGAGAGGGTTTGGGAAATCCTATGCGAATCATAAGGTCTTTGAACTACTTTAACTTCCTCTCTTAAAACCTGTCTTTCGTGATTTGTTTGTATCACTGTAAAATGTGGGGACTCGGCATGTTGGTGTTCCTCATACAGTGTGAAGAAGGACCCAATTAGTTCATTTCATAAATTGACATCTCTTGTTTCAGGCCTGTTGTTAATCTCTCCCAAAAATATTACTGCAAGCTTTTTGCCAATGTTCATTTTCTGTCCATAATTAGGAAACTTCACCATTAGTAAAAGGTATCTTCTCTGCATAAGAGTTCATCTAAGAGCCAGGCGTTGATGGTGCATGCCTTTAGTCCCAGCACTTGAGAGGCTGAGTCAGGCGGTTCTCTGTGAGTTTGAGGCCAGCCTGAAATACAGAGCTAGTTCCAGGACAGGCTCCAAAGTAATATAAAGAAACCCTGTCTCAAAAGACAAAACAAAACAAAACAAAAAACAATTCCTGTATGAAAATGAGTAGAAGATATAATGACAAAGATACAATCAAGTTCTGGACCCAGGCAATCCACATGCACATCCTGTAACCTTTTTTTGTTTTTGTTTTTGTTTCTTTTATACCAGAGTCGATTCTCTCTCAGCCTCAGCCTTATCACCTTGTAAGGTTTGAAAAAAAATCACCCTAGTTCTTGAGTTGTTAACCAGTTGTGGACCATAGCCAGTTACTATCTCCCAGCAACTTTTGAAAAGCATTAAGAGTTCACAATTGGTCTCTCCCTGCTTTGTACCATTTGTGGTTGTTTTGTTTTGATGTTTTGGTGGGTTTTTGTTTTGTTTGTTTGTTTTTGTTTTGTTTTTTCAAGATAAGGACTCTTTGTGTAGCTTTGGCTGTCCTGGAACTCACTCTGTAGACCAGGCTGGTTTTGAACTCATGGAGATCTGTCTACCTCTACCTCCCAAGTGCTGGGATTAAGGCATGTGCCACCACCACCCACCTATGTGGTTAAATTTTTTTGTAATTGGTAAAAATATCCTAGGTAATTAATAGAATCCCCTCTTTGTATTTTTTTAGGAGCAATCTATAATCCCCAGCAAGACAATATTTTCTTTACTTCAAAAATTTTTTCTAAGGTATTTGCATTTGAATCCACTAGTAAGATATCATCCATATAATGTTAAATTATAGATTAAGAAAACTGTTTACAAATTATTTCCAATGACTCTTATACAAAATGTTGACACAAGGTAGAGCTATTTAACACCCCTTGTGGTAGAACTTTCCACTGATACCTTTTAACAAACTAAGCATTATTATAAGTAGGCACTGTGAAGGCAAATTTTTCTCTGTCCTGTTCTTGCAAAGGTATAGTAGAAAAGCATTTTTTAAAAAACCATTCAGATAATAGAGAAGGCAAGGGAATTCCAGTCTGTAAAGACCCCCATTGGCTGAATTACCTTATTTATGGCTCTCAAATCTGTTTACATTATTCATTTTCCAAAATTATTTTTAATGAGAAATATAGGAGAATTTCAAGGACTGGTCAATTCTTCAGTGTGTTGAGCGTTTAGCTGCTTCTGTACCGGCTGTTCTAATGCCTCTAATTTTTCTGACATTAAAGGCCATTGTTCTACCCAGACAGGTTTGTCAGTTAACCATTTTAAAGGTAGTGTAATTGGTGTCGTCACCACGCCATCATCTGTTGTGTCCTGTTTCTGTACAGCTTGAACAGTTTGTGACCACTCCTAAGCAGGTTTATTTCTAATATTTCTCTCAGAAGCATTTTCTACTTTACAGTTTATTTCTGAGATTGGATCTGTGTTTTCCATTGCCGTATAAATCATATATATCACTATAAATTTATTGTTATGTTAGCCATATATACTTTTAATTTTTCTATCTGTCCTTCTGGCCCTAAACATTAACCCATCTTGAACTTTGTTTTACTTGTAATAAAATTCCAATTCCAGAAAGTTGAGCATTTATCTCCTGAAGAGGTTGATCTGGATGCCAAGATTTGGGTAAAATTATTGTTACATCCATGCCTGTGTCAACCAAACCTTCAGTTGCAATGCCATTCATTCATTTTTTTGGTTTGATCTCTGGTCATTTATAAATACCTACTAAAACTGTTTTGTCATCCAGAAAAGTATGATTTTTTTAACAATAAGCATTAGGTCCCTTAATTGCTCTGTGTGGGAGTTTCCCCCATGCTGACAGGGAATGATTATTAAACTAAATTTGTCATGGGGTTCTGTGAGAGGACCCCAAGGTATTTCCCAATGGCAGTGTGTTTCCTTGCCCTGAAGCCGTGAGTAGCTGAAATCCTCATTGGTTTTTACATTGCACAGGATTAGATCTGTGTTTTAAAGTTCTCTGTTCATGGAGTCAGCTTGTCACAAATGGTTTGAGGTGAGTGTCACTCAGCAGGTGCATACTGAGCACCCCTTACCCATCAGGCACTGCTCTCAGCTGAAGAGATCCCAAACCCCATCCTTAACCAGGTCTGTTATTCTCCAGAGGGGAGTGGCATGGAGCAAGCACAAAGGATTGCTTGGAGCTCCTTTAGAGGGAGGGGCACTGCGGTTGGACCATGCACAGAATGGTCGGTAGTGGGCAGCCAGTGAGCTCCTTGCACATCTTCAGTCCAGGCCACTTTCACACATAGCTCAGAAAGGCAGGTCCTCAGTATGTGAACAAGCTTCTTAGTGTCAGACCAAAACAAAGTCCCTGCGCCCATGAAATCTACTTAAAAATTAGTTTCCACATCCATAGGTTTAATACAAACCATAGCAGCATTCTCTTTTATTAAAGCTTGCCCAGGTGTGGCTAGACCATCCCTTCATTAATTTTTCTGCTGCTGATAGCCATTTTTGTACATCCCTAGCCATGAAACATTTGTCTCTTGCACCTCAGAAAAAGCAGCAGAAAACAACCTGAGCAGGGCTTAGGGGAAGAGGAGGACTGGGCTCTGTTCCAGCCTTCTCCTGAGCTCTTGAGTCTGCTCTGTGCCTCTGGCATGTGGGGTCTCCGGGTACTAGGTCACAGCTCTGAGTCTCACACTGATGTGACAAGTGGGGGAGGCCTGGGGGTCAAGGCTCCGGATATTGTGAGCTGACAGGATCTGTACCATTTGGGTTTAGAGGGTTGTTTTTGAGATGGTTTTCATGGATCCCAGATTGGCCTCAAACTCAGCAGAGGGTGGCCTTGAACTACTGATCCTCCAGCCTTTGCCTCTGCGTGTGCTAATGTTACAAGTGAATGCCACCATGACACATTTTATTTGATACTAGGGATCAAATCCAGGCCAACTCTCTACCAACTGTATTGTGTACATGCCCAGTCAAACCCATACATTTTTTTAAGTAGCAAAAATAATCACAATACATTTCTTAAGGAAACTGGTTACTTTTGAAAGAGCCTGTTTACTTAGCAGACACATGACATGGTGTGGAAAAGGATTGGGAGTGGGAGACAGGAAAATAAACTTTATTTTGGAGGCCACCACAGGCTTCTTTCTGAAGGTCTTCTCTGATCTGCTTTCCTGCTGAGGTACACAGGGGACAGGCCTTGTGGGGCTGTGTAAGCTGAGCCACCCAGAAAGGTGTCTGAGGAACTTCTCAGTGTACTAAGAGGCACAACCGCCCACCATTACAAGTTTCTTGTATGAAACTCAACACTGATTGTAGAACATCCACTAAGGAAGGAAACCAGTCTTTTTACCACCATCTGAACTCACTTTGCCTGTGCTGGACTACTGAAGGTGATTAGTTGGTGTTAATGTGTATTGTTGATGCTGGCTATAATTTTCATTAAAGCCAGTGTTTCCTCAGAAATCTAGTTAACTCTCTGTGTTCTTGCTTAGTTTGGCTTACTTGGCCTCAGGGCTGGCCTGACAAAGTCTTTTCAGGGATCTCTGTGGCTGATTGGGGGGGGGGTTACTCTCGTTGTCCATCATGGGACTTGCAGGTGGGAGGCAGAGAAACTGGTACCCAGGTGTGGCAAGTGAACCTGTGCAGGGGGCTCAGGAGACCCATCCAGTCCATGTCCTCTGCCAGCCTGACCTGAGCACCTTTACACTTGCCTGGATCTCAGTCCCCCAGAGAGACCCTACTCTGTTCCTCACAGGCTCCATGTAACAGTGCCATCCGTGGCTCTGGTGTGGGGGCTCACTCAGGACAATCCAGGCTTCATAAACTGAGGGCAAAGGGCAGGCACACTCACACATGGCTCTTGTGGTCTGGAAACACCCCATTTACAGTAAGTAGTACTGCTGGGACAAGAGGTAGTGGGCGAGACACAGGCCCACTCTGTTTTATCAGTATGGTTGGTTATGGTGTGGGGTTGACCGGAAAATAAAATTGGCCAAGAATGGCTGTTGCTAGGACTGGGAGGTGGGTGGTTCAGCAGCTTGAGTGCCTTTTGCTCTTACAGAGGACCCAAGTTGTGTAGCATCTGATGCCTTTTACTTCCAAGGACAACTGCATTGACTTGTGTTTCTACAGGTGTAGATCTCACACACACTTTAAAATACATGCATGTGTCTTTTGAAGATTCTTGGAAATACAGTTTACTAAGTCTTACAAAGTTTTTGAATAACAGTGATAACAATGCCATCTGGATAAACATAAAGAAGGAAATAACGTGGTCATGTCTTTCTCCATGGCAGACTAAGGCTGGGAAGGATTCAGGTGCACTGTTTAAATACTGGAAGTATGAGCCTTGGGCACTTTTTCTTTTTCTGCTGTTTGTTAGGCCTTTTTAAGGGATGAGGGGATGACGTACATTTACCATTATTTTTCTCCTGGCAGAATTTCCTTTTCCTAAGATGGAGTCGAACAAAAAGATGGACGCTGCTGGCGCACTGCAACCCAACCCATCACTCAAACTGCAGCCTGATCGCAGTGCAGGGTCAGTGCTGGTGCCAGATCAAGGAGGCTACAAGGAAAAGTTTGTGAAGACAGTGGAAGACAAGTATAAGTGTGAGAAGTGCCGCCTGGTGCTGTGCAACCCAAAGCAGACTGAGTGTGGGCACCGCTTCTGTGAGAGCTGCATGGCTGCCCTGCTCAGGTGAGTGCCTGGCCAGGGCAGCTGAATCCCTCCCTCTTCACCTGTTCCTCTCAAAACCGTGAATGCTTTTACATCCAGCTTCAGAGGCCTTTGGGAAACTGAGTTTTCTGAGGCCTCTGCGCCTTGCCCTACCTGCCTCCCATCCCACTCCCCCAGGTTTCTCTCCTGAAGTCCCCTCAACGGTGTCAGCACTCTGTCCACAAAGCCTCTACCCCCAATCTGTGTTGCTGTATTCTGCTCAAGAAGTTCATGTTTATGGTGGTGATGGCAACTGATCATAAATCCTTAAAATAGGAGGTTGTGGGGGCTGGAGAGATAGCTCAGTGATTGAGAGCATTGACTAGTTTTTCCAGAGGTCCTAAGTTCAATTCCCAGCAATCTCATGATGGCTCACAACCATCTATAGTGGGATCTGATGCTCTCTTCTGGTGCTCAAGCATACATGCAGACAGAACATTTTATATATATATATATATATCAAATAAATAAAATAGAAGGGTATCACTGGGCCATGGTACATGAAGGTCAGGATCATATGTAGGACAAAACAGGTGTAAGTATGCATTCTTGCCTAGGGGGTACACATAGAACTTGTACCCAGATCCTAGAAGCTCATGAGCCTTATGGGTTGCTATGGTAAAATCACAAGGTAAAGTTGGAGTTAGAGGACAGAAGTTGAATTGGCCAGGGAAGAACTTCATCCTGTAGCTGTTACATATTTTCCAGGCATGGTGCTTGGCACTCAGATCACTACAGGACATACCCTTAGAAAACATTAGCTTGAGAGGACCACCCTCTCTCCAACTGGCCACTCACACCTGGGTGCCTGAGACCAAGGCCAAGCCCAGGAGCCAGCCTCTTGTGCACCCACCCCCTCATCACAGCCATTCCCTGGACCCACACGCCCACTTGGCTTTGCCTGCTGAGGGAGAAAGGCCTAGTTGAACCTAGGTGCCACTGGCATCTGTATTCGTAGTGAGATTGTCTTTAGCCCTTCAGTACCTGGGGTACTCTACCACAGGTCCTCTCTGAGTACCATTGTGGCACCAGTAGGACATGCCATTTTCAGGTTATTTGTGTCTCCCATTGGGACTGAGTTACTGAATGTAATAGCTTACTTTTGAAAACTTACCATATTTTTTTAAGTTTGGTTCTTTCTCTCCTGTGGATTCCTATTTAACTTGGATTTTTCCATGGCACCGTGGAGGCCTGCCTGCTGCTGAAAGCTAGAACAGGCCTGACTGCAAAGGGAGTGAACCTGAGGGAAGGAAGGGCTGCTGCTCTAACATGCTTACTTTGTTTCCTTCAGCTCCTCGAGTCCAAAATGTACAGCGTGCCAAGAGAGCATCATCAAAGACAAGGTACCTTACCTGTTTCCTTTCCTCAAGACTGGCTCTGTAGTCCAGGGTGGCCCCAGTCTTAACAATTATCTTGCCCCAGCCTTGGAGTGCAGTGGTGTGGCACCCTGCTGGGCTCCTTGCTGGTGGGTACATTTCACATAGCTTGCATTTGTTGCCCTGGAATTGAGCTTAAATTTTTATTTTGTTTATTATTGGGGGGAGGTTGTATATATGCCATAGTCTTTGTGTAGAGGTCAGAGAACAACATTATGGGATTCTCTCATTCTGTCTTTAATTGGATCCTGGGGATCAAATTCAGGTTGCCAGGTTTGCACAGAAAATAATTTACCCTTTGAGCCACCTTTTCGCATAGCCATTGTACAATGCATTAAAATTCAGTTTTGTTTCTCTTGTTTGTTTGTTTGTGCTTCAAACTCACAGAGATGCTCCTGCTTCTGTCTCCCGTGCACACCACTGCCAGTTACTTCAGTTTAAAATTACACCCTAACCCCAGTACTTAGGAGGCAGAGACAAGTGAATCTCTGGGAGTTCTAGGCCAGCCTTGTCTACATAGCCAATTCTAGGACATCCAGAGCTATAATAAAGTGACTCTCTTGAGAAAAAAAGTTAATATCTTTGTGGAGAGGTGAGGGTGGGAAGCTAGCTCAGGCTAGCCTTGAACTCACTTAGTAGCTGACATCCTGTCTCAGTACCTACTTCATGCAATACTGAGGATATGTCAAGTATTCTATGCAAGTATACCACCAACCGAGTTAGATCTCCAGTTCCTTGGGTTTTGTTTGTTTTCTGAGACAGGATTTCACTATGCAGCCGTGGCTGGCCTTGAACTCATCATAGAGATCTATGCGCCTGCTTCTGCCTCCAAATATGGCAAGTCCCTTGGGATTTTCCTCCCTCCCTCCTTTTCTCCCTCCCTCCCTTGTTTTGTTTTGTTGTGTGTGTGTGGAGGGGGGGGGTTAGGTCTTCTATGTAGCCCATCCTGGCCTGAAATTCATGGCAGTCCTGCCTCAGCTTCCTAGGATTACAGGTATGTGCCACAATACTCAGCCCTTAGTTTTTGACAGTGGTACATGCTCCAAGGCCTGACATGTGTTATGTGAGTGCCTGGGCAGACTAGGAAGAGGGGGAAGATTCAGACACATTTGTCGGTCTTCTGCTATAAATCCTGCAGGACACTCTGTTGTCGTAGCCATAACCGTGTGAGTCCCAGCTGTCCCACAGGAAGGTACATGAGGAGTGGGCTTGTCAGAAGTGCTGAGGTGCCTGTTACGGCAGCGTCTGTCGCTGCTGCCATTGTAACTCTTTTCTCATACAGCTTGCACTCAACTTTGACACTAGCTTTTACCTTCAAACGTGCCCGTGGGGGCTGGAGGGATTGAATTTGTTCTCGCTCCCCTTCACTTGTGTCTTAAGTGCTGAGACAGTGAATGAGATCAGCTTTCCTCTGCCCGTGAGGATGTCAGTGCACTTAGAGAGTGGGTACCACTGAAACGTCCCCCATCTTCTTCCTGTACCCAGTCCATCTCCTTTTCCCTGGCCCATGGCCACCCACGTACTGCTAAGCCCTTCCAGGCACACTTGTAGCTTAAATCAACTCCCTCATAAGGACTTAAATGTCAATAAAATGTGTATTATTCCAATATTCTGATTAATGAACCTAACAATTTTTAATGTAGGCTATTAAATCCCACAGTAAGAGTCTTGCTCTGGGGTTTCCTGTCAAAAGCATTTGCAAGTGTTGGACTTGCTGACCAGGGTAGCCCAGGTGAGGCAGCTGGCCACAGGGCCCCTGGCTTTAGGGAGAAGAGCTGCTGCTGGTGGAGCTTGTTCTGGATAGTTAGAGAGGAAGTTAGCTAACCCTCCCTGCTTTTCTTGGCACATTAGCATATCTCTGCTGCTGAAGACTCTAGCCAGTTACAAAAAAGCAGGACACTTACCCACTCCTCATTTTGTTTGTTTGTTTTGTTTTGAGACAGGGTTTCTCTGTGTAGCCCTGGCTGTCCTAGAACTCTGTAGACCAGACTGGCCTTGAACTCAGATCCACCTGCCTCTGCCTCCCAAGTGCTGGGATTAAAGGTATATACCACCAAGCCTGACTCTTACCCCACTCTATTTCTTAACATAGCAGTGGACCTACCTTATTCACATGTATTGACAAGTGTGACTGAGAAAGAAGTTAAAGCCAGCCACAAGCTACCGTGGCTATTTTTCATATCATTCATTCACGATTATGATCCCTATTTTTCTCCTCCTCTCCCCTTTCTCCTCCCCTCCCCGCCTCTCCCCTTCCCTGAGGCAGGTTCTCTTTACACAGCCCTTGCAGGCCAGGAGCTCTCTGTAGACCAGGCTGGCTTCAGACTCAGAGAGAGTCTCTTGCTCTGCCTTCCAAATGTGATTAAAAGTATGCACCACTACTCCAGTTTCTAACCTGGTTTTTGAAACAGGATCTGTCCATTGATCCAGGAGCTTGCTGATTGGATGGACTAGCTGGTTAATAAGCTCCAAAATCCTGTCTTCGCCTCCCCAGCACTGGGATTCTAGGTGCACACACACCACCACACTTGAGTTTTATGTAGGTGTCAGCGTCCCAGCTCAGATCTTCATGCTTGTACAGCAAAGCACAGAGGTGACTGGAGCATCTCTGTTTCCAAATTTACCAGCTACTGATTCTGTCTCTGCCTGGGAGTTTGGAAAGGGCATGTTAAGTGCCCTGTCTTCCTGTCTCAGAATATTGACAAGTGGGTGTGTCTCAGAAATGCCTGAGGACCAAGATGTTCATCCTTATAACACATATTTAAAGCTTCCTTTGGGCTAAGATGTGGCTCTGTGGTAGAGTGTTTCCCTAGCATGCTCAAGGCCCTAGGAATCCATCCTCTGTGGGGAAAATAGAAAGGTAAAGAAAACACAGGATCCTCTAGTAAAAACTGAGTTATAAGCAGCATACACTAAGAAGGAACCAAAATTGTTTCATACATTGCCCCAGAGCATTTCCTCCCCCATAACTGTTGGTCAGATTCTGACAAGCTTCTGTACACCGTGCTGAGCTGCTAGCATGTCACCACATCCTTTGGCAAGAGGTATGCCTCCAGGACCATCTGCTGCTTATTGGCTGGGAGCTTGAGCCTGCCCTGTCCTGAGTCTGTCAGTACTCGAGGACTATAGTGCTCTAAAATGCTTCACCCAACCTGTCTTCTGATTTACCTAATAAAAGATAGTGGTTACAGTTATATGAGTTAAATGGTGTCTCGTAGTGGGGCCAGCTCCTTCATTGTACTTCCAGAAATTAAGATTGTCCTTAATGCTTTCTGAGGCACACTTAAGAGTTGCTCTTAGCTTTTTAGAGTGGTTTTGCCTTGTCCAATGGCAACATGTGAAGATTAAGAAGTATTAATCCTCTAACTACCTTTCAATTCAGGTGTTTAAGGATAATTGCTGTAAGAGAGAGATCCTGGCCCTTCAGATCTACTGTCGGAATGAAGGCAGAGGCTGTGCAGAGCAGCTGACTCTGGGGCATCTGCTGGTGAGTACCCAAGAGGTCCCAGGACTAGAGCAATCTCTGTTCAGCTATGAGCTGCCTCACCTCATCTAAATGCCTGGCCAGTTTCCTATATTCTTTTCCAACAAAACCATGCAAGAGTGTCCAATCCCTAGTACACAAAGTCACTTTTTATGACATCAGTGGATTATCATCCTCTGCTGCCCTACCTAGAATTAAAGAAATAAGAGTTGGGTTTTAATTTTAAAGGCACTGTATAACTTTATTTCTGCCATGAAATTTCACATAACTTAAGGTTGCTTTTTTATTTTTAATTTGTGTATTTCATTCAGAGTGGATACTTGAATTAGAATAAAGGGTTTAAAGGGTTGGCGTGTTGTGTGTGTATCTATAGTGGTGGTGTTTTTGTGGGAGGGGAATTTGACACAGATTTTACTCGTGTGTGTGTGTGTGTGTGTGTGTGTGTGTGTGTGGCTTTTGACACTGGTCTTGCTGTATAGTTCAGACTGGCTTTGAATTCGGGATCTCTGCTATGACGACAGGTCAGGTCTGTATCATCACATCTGACTGAAACAGTTCTTAACAGAGACACCCCCACTCCCCAGCTGTGGTAACAGAGAACAAGTGCATGGTCCCTTACTCAAATGTGTGCTGAAGAAACATAAGGTGCATACCATGAGCCTGTGTCTCTGGTTGTGCTCGCCACTCTACTGGCCGTTACAGTCTGCCAGTTCAGTTTGTCAGCTGAGAACTTTGGTTTGTTCTACAGGTGCACCTAAAAAGTGAATGCCAGTTTGAGGAGCTTCCCTGTCTTCGGGCGGACTGCAAAGATAAAGTATTGAGAAAAGACTTGCGGGATCACGTGGAAAAGGCCTGTAAATACCGTGAGGCCACATGCAATCACTGCAAAAGCCAAGTCCCCATGGTCACACTGCAGGTGCGATGCTGCCTCTTCTCTTCACGCCCCTTCTGCTCAGCTCAGGTGCACTCCCTCTGCAGAGATGGCCATTCTAACAGGACAAAAAGAAAGGGGTTAAATAGCAGTTTCATCCAACTTTATTTCAGAGTAAAACTGTATTTGTTTTGCCTATTTTGATTTATATAATTAACACTTTCCATTGCCTTGATTGACTCATTTGAGATGTCAAAATGAAGACTGATGATTGAAAAAAGGTAGAATTTGTAACTTGTCCCAAAGAATAGCCTCAAATTTTGATGGAGTACTCATCTTCTCACAGCTGTATGACACAACTATCACTTACAACAGGCTCATTTATCCTGCACTGTCAAAGGCAGCTGTCTGTCTTAGGGAGAGACGAGGGTTTCAGTGTTTTCCTGCCTCGTTGTTTTGGCACGGTCTGTGGCATTTTACAATGGAATCATTTCTGTGTGAAAAATGAAAAGGGTAGAAGACCAACTTCAAAAACAGTCACTCATCGAGTAAACACTGGTTATGTACCTACTGGGTGCCACGCCATTCCAGGACAATGACTGCTTAAAGGTTCCTGAGAGGGAGCTTAGGCCAGGCAGATGGGGACTGTTCTTTGTGGTGGTATTGGGGTCATCAGAAGTGCGACTGTTGGTATAGCCAGGATACAAGGGCCAGTGCTGAGTGCCCAGTGTTGTCTTGGAACATGTGGTGGTCACCATATCGGAGAGTCTCCTGTCCTATGAAATGAAGTGTGTCCTCTTCTGTCTCAGCACTCACTCCCATAAGCAGCCAGGCCTGAATCTGGGCCTCATTTTATCTGAACATCTTTTTCTTGTAGAATACTGTAGACATTCCCAGTTACTAAGCCTTTAAGTGTCTTCCTTAGAATGTGTCATAGTTGAGTAGTTTATCCAGTAACAAACTTCCAATGAGACACTCACCTAACAAGTAGCTATCCAGGCTAGACATACGTTAATATACTGCTGTCAAAAGTTACACTTTGATTTTGCAGAGATCAATTTTTTCCAGAGTAGAATCAAGTAGCTTTCATTTGAGAAGGAACTGAAGGCATGTCAGTTAGATACCACATAAGCAGCCACCTCTGAACAGCATGCGAGGCTGTAGAGCCAGGAGAAGGTATGGTTAACCACGCGTTGATGGCACAGGGGCTGCTTGAAGTTTCTATCATTAGTCTGCAGGTGTGCAGTTAAAGTCCTACAGTATGGAAAGCACTGTGACTGCACATCACATACGAAGGCGTACTTGTTCCGTGTGAGTCTTTAATTAGCAGCACAGATGGAGGAGAAGCTGGACCTAGAAGCAGTTTGAGAGCTGAATCTCACATCTCTGGAGGCCTTCTCGATGGAAACTGGCTGCGGGCTCCTTTGACAGTGCCACTAGCATACTCTGCTGTTGCTTTCCTTCTGCTTTGGGTTACTCGGGATAACTCAGGGCCATCTTCAGACACTGTCAGCATTCATCCAGGCTGGCCTTAAATTTGGCATCATCCTGCCTTGGCCTCCAAGTAGTCAGTCACCAGGATGTGGTACCCCAATGGCTTTTCATTTTTGTTTTGAAATAGGTTCTTTTGTAAAAGTCCAGACTGATCTTAAATTTACTAGGTACCTGAGGATGACCTTGAACTCCTGATCTTCCTGCCATCACCTCCTAAGAACTAGGATTATGGGTGTGGGCCACAATCTGCCTATATTAAGGCCTGTGTTGCTCTCTCCTCTGGTTTTCGGGCCCTTGCATCATCCTAACAGTGGAAGCCAGGGCACTGAGCCGTGTGTCTGCATTCGCAGCAGTGTATTTGACCAGCATGCATGCTTCACACCTTTGCCTGAGCATTCCCTCCCGACACTGACGAAGCAAGTGTGCACTCACGTCTTTGTGTAACTGAGAAGGTTCTGTGACTGCTCTGGGCTGCCTCTCCTTCTAGTTAGTGCCAGGATTGCATGCCCAAATCTTTTCTTTCTTTTTTCTTTTCTTTCTTTCTTTTTTTTTTTTTTTTTTTTTTTTTTAGGTCTAACACAGTCTCCCAGCAGTGGAATGTGCCACGCTGCAGTATAGATTAGGACCCGTGGCACACACTGCATAGCTGGCAATACATTGCTGCCAGTGTCTGTTACAGGACCAAACCACATGCAGTTCCTGAGGTAAACTGTATTTTAATAAAATCTGAATACCACCTCAATGAAACTTTTTAAGTAAAAGGCAGAAATGCAAGATTCAGCATTGTTTTAGTGGTTACTTGCAGGAAATAAGGATGAGGTAGGTAGACAGTGTTGATCAAGCTCTCCACCTAGGCAGTGTTTCATGAATGTTCATTGCATAGCTAGGCTTTGTGTTTCCCACATGTGCACACATGTGCCGTCAAACTTGCAGTCATGGGAATGCACACCTATAGTCTAACACTTGAGAGGCAGATGCAGGGATTCAAAGCTACACTGTTTTCTAGGTAACAGTCTTCTTACAAACCACTACAAAATATATCAAGTTTTTGTTTCGTTTTGTTTGTGACAGAGTCTCATTTGTACCCCTGCTGGCCTAGGACTTGCTGTGGGATCAGGCTGACCTCACACTCACAGAGGTCTGCCTGCCTTTCCCACATGCTGGGTTAAAGGTGTGCACCGTGTGCGTGCCTGGCCCGAGTCTCTTGTCTGTTTTCAGGGTGCACAGGTGCACTCTTTTCCTGAGCTGTTAGAACACAGTATCGCCAAGCATCAGATGGCAGCTTACAGTCATCCATAACGCCATCTTCTGACCTCTGTGGGTACCTAGTACACACAAGGCGCACAGACATACATGCAAGCAAAAACACTCACACAGCCATGAAATGTTGCTGCTGTTCACAGCAACAACTTCGAGAGAATACTTCCCACCTGCTCCGGGACACCCTGGTTGCTATTGATCCTTGCCTGGAAGCTGCACCTCTCCTGCTCTGTCTCTGTGTTTAGCTGGCTGCTCCTGAGTCCTTGCTTCTCTAAGAATGCAGTCATGAGACCAAGGGCCTTGTCTTAATTAATGACAGCTGCAAAGAACCAGATCCAGTAAGGTCCCATCCGAAGTTTCTGAGTGGACATGAGCATCACTGTGGGAGAACACTATTTAGTCACTTTTATGGGTAGAAGTCCTGAACAGGCAATTCAGTGAAAAGAAATATCTGTGATTAATAGCAAGAAACCAATTCACAATGCCTTGAGCTGAAGAATCCCCATGCTTTGTATCCCTTCCATTAGGTTGTCACAGATTAAAAAGTATGGTAGAATTAGTAAAGTGCAAGAATATGCTTTTTCATGATGATGATGAGATTCCAAATTGGGGTCAGGTCATTGGAGGGCAATTTAGCAACAGTTCATCAAAATCTAATTTAAAACGTGCATCTAGCTGGGTGGTGGTGTTGCACACCTTTAATCCCAGCACTCAGGAGGCAGAGGCAGGTAGATCTCCTTGAGTTTGAGGCCATCCTGGTCTTCAAAGAGAGTTCCAGGACAGCCTCCAAAACCTACAGAGATACCCTGTCAGGGTGGGTGGGTGTGTGCGCGGCGCTTTTGATGCTTTTAAAACCTTCTCCTGGACATTCTCACATAGTTATCCAAAAGTACATACATGCCTCATTCTCCCAATCAGCCGGCCCCATCCTCCCCCAGCCCTGCTTACCCAAACCTCCTCCAGCACTGTCTTGATCTTCCCCCTCTGCTATGCTTGCGTTGATGAGGCGCCAGGCCAGTGTCCAGCCCTGAGAATGAAGATGGGTTTGGGGAAGAAATAGAACACCTGTGGTCCCTTACTATGTTCCAGTGTCCCTGCTCTGTGGACTCGAGGCCTCCACTCTTGGGGTGGTGGGGAGGTAGCGTGATCACACTTGGTTCACAGACAGATGTGGTCAATATCAGAGAAGCAAGGCTAGTTACTGGAGTTTCCTCTGAAATGTACAGAATGCCTTGACTTCATGGTTCTTGAAACCTCTGGATCCAGGCAAACCCCACATGCTGGGTGTAAGCATTTTGATGGCTTGGATGGGATGGACAGGGATTCTGGCACTCAGGAACCAAAGAATACTGATTGTTACAGCTCAGGTGGAAAGGTATTCTGGCACTCAGGAGTCACAGAACACTGAGTATTACAGCTGGGATGGAAAGGTATTCTGGCACTCAGAGCGAAGGAATACCACGGGTCACAGTAAGCATAGCAGCTTACAGCCCTGCTTTAGGAAAAGGCTTCCCCAGTGTATCAGCTCTGCTCTGGCAGGGGATGCTTTTCCTGGCTAAGTTGTTACATTTCAGCCCCCAGTTCCCTGGAAAGTGGAGTGTAACAACTTTGTTTTACCAAGGGAAGTTTTCCCTGTTAAAAAGTGTTACAACCCTGCTCTGCTCTACTCAGGGTCATGTCTGCATCTCTGCTCCAGCAAAAGAAGGTCTCACCCAAACCTCATTCAAGAGATTTATTGGGAGGGAAGAATCCACAAGAGTGGCTGTCCTCTGCCTGGGGTGGCAGAGGACAGACACAGGTTTACATGGAGCTCCTTAGGGGTTGGGGTTTTCCCAGGGAGATTTCCAGGGTGAGGATTGGTCAGATTTCAATCCTTGAGCTCAGACTGGCTCAAGGCTAAATCTTATGCTCAGGGATTGGTTGGTTTTCTGCACAGGTTTAGGGTTAGGTTTGGCTCTGGTTTCAGAGCCAAAGTGTGTTCCTCTCGTTGGTCTTTTTAGCCTTTTGGCTCTAATTTTAGGACCAGGGTGTATTTCTTTCCCTGGCTTTGCTCAGCGTGTGCTTCTTTAGTTGGTCCTTTTCCCTTACATTGGATCCTTGTGCAGCCAGTCCCGGGAGGGAAATTCTGACCAGGTTCTCTGTGTCCAGCCCTCTGGTCAGTATGGAATGGTATGGACTTGCTTACCAGGTGTTCTGGGGGACCCTGCTCAGCAGATGCAGTGCTCACACCCAGAAGGCCCAGTCCTTCAAAATTCCAGAAGATTGAGCCTGGTTCCCTCCTCAGGTCAGGGTCCTCTGTTAAACATGTACTTCTAGCTAGGTGGTGGCACTCACCTTTAGTCTCAGCACTTGGGAGCCAGAGCCAAGCGGACCTCTTGAGTTCAAGGCCAGCTTGGTCTACAGAATGAGTTCCAGGACAGTCAGGGCTACACAGAGAACCCTGTCTCAAAAACAAAAACAACATCAACAACAATAAAATAAAATTAAAGACATGCACTTCCCTTGTACGGGCCACTGTTTTTGGTCCTGTCCCTGCCTGGTTTGACTGAACTAGTGCCATGGTCCAATTTATCCACGTAAAGGCAAATGTCACCAAAGGCCAAAGGAACTAGAAAATCTACTGAGACCTAGCAGTATCCCGGGACTCGGAAGAGCTGCCGAGCACCTAACTGAGCAGCAGTTGCTGTACTGATACTTCTTTCTGTCTCTGGCTTTGCCTTCGTTGTGAGTCTAGCAGTGCTTTCTGGGCCCTTGGGTTTGATGTCCTCAACCCTTGGATGTTCGCCTTGGCCTTTTTATGGTCAGGTGCTCCTGGCACTGAGATTACCAGTCCTTATTTTTCTGCAGAGCTAAAGATCGTTCCATTTCAACAGGGCCTAGACCAGAATTTGTCTGTACTTGTGTACTAAGATAATGAAGGCAAGATTTCAGGACAGTATCCAGGGGACCATGCTGTTTTCACTTACTGGAGAGGCGTCCTGTCCAGATACAGACTGAAAGGCCAGAGGAAAATCCAAGCGTGGGCATTTGACCAAGCCTGCACTGTCCATAGGGCCCTTGGCCTGAGATCTGCTGGGGAAGGAGCTGGCGGTAGGGGTCACCAGCAGTGTGCGCCATAAATTCCCACTGAGTCAGCTCTGACCTGACGTCACAAGGTCCCAGACACTCGTGCTCTGTTGAGTGTGATGTGGTAGTGGTTGGCACAGATTCCGTTGTGTCTACATTGAATGGTGGGCATTGAGAAGGTTGAGCTTTGCTGGTCCACACACACTTGACACACTTCCTTTTCCTTTGTAGAAACACGAAGATACTGATTGTCCCTGTGTGGTGGTGTCTTGCCCCCATAAGTGCAGTGTCCAGACTCTTCTGAGACGTGAGGTAAGGCACAGCCAGGGGCCCAGGCAGGAGCCCTGAGTCATGGCCATCTTTATAGTAGTCCTCATTCATGGTTGACTATGGTAATGTGTGTAACAAGAAAGACAAAACTGACAGGACTTTCTGGAAGTGAGAAGCAAACAACAACAAAAAATGCTATAAAAAAGGTAAATTCAGGATTGAAAATACTAAGAATTGGAAAAAAAATGAATAATCTACAAATGTAAGTAATGGTGGTACTTTAAGTTTTTTGGAAGCAGTCTTTAAATCTACAAAGTAATGAATTGTCTCGACAAAAAAAAAAAAAAAAAAAAAAAAAAAAAAAAGGAATTTAACTCTTCTAAAACCATTTGACCATCTCATGGTCAGGGCACTGCTTGAGGGGAAATAGATACTGAAACCATCCTTAGGCACACATGTGAGGAGTCCCATGACTGTGCATTACGTCCTGCAGGCTGTAAAATGGGCAGGTTTTGCCATTGATTTCATTTGATCTGTCTATAAGAATAGATCCATGTGGAAAATTCCAGGGGTTCCTAACATTTTTACATGGGACCTGACCTAGAGCCCCCATGATTGCTTAGTGTCTGAGGCTCTCATCTTTGGAGCCTCTGGAGTCTTGTCCAGCAGCCTGGTATCTCTGGGCAGTTGAAGGAAGGCAGCCTAGAAACACTAGCTGCTGTGGGCCTAGTGCTTGGGGTACAGAGAGCTGGGAAGACCCTGAGAACCTTGCTCGCCTAGGTGCGTCCTCCCAGACAGTGCCGGTGAGGTCGGTGTCAGGCCTCTCGGATGACCTGGGAGAAGAACAAGTAAATTCTCCATGCTGGCCCCCTGGAAGACCCTTCTGTTAAAGTTAGTGCACAGAGAGTCTAACTGCTAAAATGACCCCACAATTTATAACCCTCATTTCAGTTCTGTCCGTTCAGGGCTCTGAATTAAGGTGAACAGTAGCCTCCGAGTTACTTTTATTTCAAAATAAAATTTTAAACTGCATTTCTCTTGGCTTTAATGAAAGGAGCTGTTGGGCTGTGCATTAGTTTTGCATTTGTTCCAAGACTCTTATGAATTCTTCAGGGCTCTGAGTGTACTCATAATAAACCAAGTTAGGAAAAGATAGGACAGTGAGTTTTTAGTAGAAATAACATGTCAGGACAGCGTGCCCTGTTTGTAACATTAGAAGTGATAGCCCGTCGAAATAGTTACAGTGGCCCTGGAAGAATCTCACACCTTTAAGTTTTAGTCCATGCTGACCTGCCTGTGGAGCCCTCTGGGTACTTCCTCTGAGTCCAGCCCAGGGTATTCAGGAGAACTGCAAGCACACTTTGCTGCTGATCTTCATGACTGCCTAAATAACAGGCCCTTTTCTATGTGGTTGGTTGTGGTGAGGCCCTCAAGGCCCCTTTCCAGGTTGCCTGTCTTCTGACCCATCATAAAAGAGTCAATGAGCAGAGAAAGAAGGGATCTCTATTTGTCCCTCATTCGTAAGTACCAAGCATAGAGAATAACCTTGGTCCTGATAGCCCGAGGAAAATTGCAAAACTACACAAAGGAGCATCTACCTGTGTCTGCACAGACCTTGTAGAACAAGAGCTGTGAGGAGAGGCAGCAGGCACATAGATAGCATTTGTGTTCCAGCCCACGGCAACACAAGTCCAGGCACAAGTCTGTCTCTAGGGTACATCTTTTCAGTTCCCTTGTCTCTTGTTTGGGGCATCCTAGAGCTAAACAAGAGACTGTCTTCTCTTGGGATAGCTTAGATTTTCCATCTGTCAGTTAGAGGAGACAGCATAAGATTCCTGTTGTTAGAATGGCTGTAGGATCTTTGAAAAGCATGTAAGCATCTGCACATGCCAGGGAAAAAGGATTTTCAGATGAAGGAGCAACTCACCTCCAGCCATCTCAAGTGTTACTAGTAATGGCTCAGTGTGTGAGCTTGCTTTGAAAATGGGTTTATTTTTGTGTACTGTACAGTAGGTGTGTGACCCAGTTGCATCCCAAATGCTTTCTGATTTTTTTGTGTTTCATACAGTTTTTGTTAATAGTCTTTAAATGTGCATTTCAGTTGTTTTTTTTTTTTTTTTTTTTTTTTAATTCTGGCACTTCAGACGGCATGTCACAGTTTGAACAATTTGTTCTCAAGAAATTGGAAGTTTAAGAACTGTTACAGTAAATGTACTTCTGTATATTGGTGTGTATATGTGTATACTTGTGATGAAACTGTATTTTACTGCCTGAAGTCCAGCAAGCAGATGACGTGTACACACCTGCAGCTGATAAACACCTTCTTAACAGTACAGCCTGGATGCTCTCTGTGCCCTGATATGTTTGAACATTTTCATGCAAACGTTTGTGTCACAACTCACGTCTCTTTCCCGTTGCAGTTGAGTGCACACTTGTCAGAGTGTGTCAATGCCCCCAGCACCTGTAGTTTTAAGCGCTATGGCTGCGTTTTTCAGGTCAGTATCCAACATTTGTCCTTCCCAGTCACTGACATTCTGCCATTGAAGAAAGTTCTCATAATACGATTTTAACCTTTGAGTTCTCACTTTTTTAGTCTTTATCGTGAAACCAGATCACCCTGCTGCATGGGTGAAACAAGGCATACATGCAGCAAGGTGGGTGCTCACTTGCCAGGCCAGGGCACTTTGAGATTTAGATGGAATGGCATGGGGAAGTCAGTGTGCCAGAACTGCCATCTCCAAGTCAGCTCCAGGGTTAGAGTGCAGTGACACCTGGTAGAGTCTCTGCGGCAATTTTAAGGACATACTGAGTATAGGTGAATATCAAACTAGATGAACTTTGACATTGTCTGTCAGCCCTAAGCTGTAAGAATCACACATGGGTATCTGTAATGCTTTGTTTACACATGTGTGCTGGCTCTTGCCCCTGCCAGAGCTAGAATTGCCTGAGAAAAGCCTGTAGAAAACTTACTTCCTGGGAAATAGTGTTCATGTGAGAAACATGCATACAGTTTTCTGTTCTTTTTTAAAAAGCATACCTGAGATTGAAAGTTAAGACTGAGTTTATCTACCAAAAAGCAAAATATGTTACAAAGAGTCATATATTTAGTTTTGTGTACTGACAATAGGTTGCTATGGAGTTGGTACGAAGACAGCAGCATTGCAATACTTTTTTCTTAGAAGATGAAAACCTGAGAGTAAGAACCAAGTTCTCCCTTGCCTTAGTCTAGGAGGTGCCTGTGCCTCCCTGTTCTGTCCTGCATAGTGCCATCCATCCTCTGTGTATGCGTATGTATGCTGATGCAGAGCTCTGCTCAGATCAGCATATATAGAGAGATTCTATGTACAGAGTATATGTTTTGGAGATCATGAAAACGCTTTTTCTGATTTCTTAATTTTCCAGTATCAAAACAAATTATATTCTCAAATTGGTTGTTTCCTTGAATATGCAAAGTACTATTTTATGTGCTTGCTCTTGGCTTGAATGGTCTGCATCTTGTGTACTCTGTAGATTGTTTATGTTTTGTATGTAAATTTCTCAGCACACTCAGCCTGTTGAGGCGGTGCCTTTTTGGATACAATGCTATACCATAGTTCAGTGGACTGCTGTAGCAGCATCTGCCTGCAGCTGTAGGTCCCAGAACATTCTCCATGTATATTTTCATGAAAATTATTTGTAAGGGAACAGGATGAGTTTCAAATTTAAGTCCTGCAAGTATGACACATTGATGAGAAGCCACTAGAGGCAGCGTGAGGAAAGGGGAGCATTAACTTGAGCGTAGCTCTGCAATGTCATAGCGTTCTTGGTGTGCTCCCTGCACCGCAGCCTGGGAGGCCCCTGGAATTCCGTGTGTAAATAGGCCCTCTTCATGTAGTGCTGCTTCTAGAGTTGTATGTTAGGGTTTCTGTCCTTGGGAGTGACTGGTTTATTTTACTGCCTTTGCTTTTGCAGGGCACAAACCAGCAGATCAAGGCCCACGAGGCCAGCTCTGCCGTGCAGCACGTGAATCTGCTGAAGGAGTGGAGCAACTCCCTGGAGAAGAAGGTAGGCATGCAGCCCTGGGCCCGTCAATGTGCAGTGTTGGCTTTCCTTCCTGCTCAGTGTAATCACTCTGTGGGTCAGCACTGATCTAGGACAGTGATTGTCCCAACATTCATATGCTTGTCCTCAGCTCCATAGCTCTGTGAAAAGCAGCTATCCTGTTCAGGTGAATTGATCCTGGCTGTTTTGGCACTGACCAGCATAGAGACTGCTGGTCTGGACCACTTAACTCCAAATGCTGGTTGGCTCCTTACATGTGGACCACGTTTGCCGTGCCCACATGTCTGGTCCCTAGGGCTGATCTCCAGCTGTGTTCTGTGTTTTGTAAGCCCCAGAAAAGCATGCTGCCTTCTCCCTGTTTGCAGTTGGTTCTCTCAGCTGCACCGACTGCATAGGCAGCACCACTACCCGGTTTCCTCAGTTAGAGTGCACCTGCTCACGCCACTCGCTCTGTGGTGCTCACCCCCACAGCAGGGCTGTGTTGCCATGAGGAGCAGGTGACTCACTCTAAGGACTGATAGGTTAGACGGTTATGAGCTTACACTTACCATGGCTCATTCACATTCAATACATCGATTGAAACTTGTATCAGGAGGGCATTGAGATAGGGTAAGTGATTGGTGCAGCTGACATTAGAGTTTATAAAGATCTGAGTCTTGTGTTAAGTGATTAATACAAATGTACTTCAGAGTCTCAACCTTCCTGATGCTGTGACCCTTTAATACAGTTGTGTGGTGACCTCCACCATAATAAAATTATATTCCTTGCTACTTCATAACTGTAATTTTGCTACTTTTGTGAATCATAATGTAAATAATTTTGGAGATAAAGGGTTGTCAAAGGGGTCCTGACCTACAGGTTGAGAACTGCTGCTCTAAAGTGACAAACCAGAAGGTTCCCAAGAGAGGCCGCATGGTGCCATGTAGTGCAACTGGAAAGGTGAGGCAGCCCAGCCAGTGCCATCTCCCGGAGAACACAGTGTGTGCTCTGAGCCCATTGACAGCTACCTAGGAATCTTGTTTCCCTCTTTCTGAAGAAAATGTTTTCTTTCTGTCATTTTTAAGTTATTATACAACCTCAGGGTGTCCTGTATCTCACGAGTACATTTAAAAGGCCCTTCCTTGGGCTGGAGAGATGGCTTAGGGGTTAAGAGCAGTGACTGCTCTTCCAGAGGTCCTGAGTTCAATTCCCAGCAACCACTTGGTAGCTCACAGCCATCTGTAATCTGTAATGAGATCTGGTGCCCTCTTCTGGCCTGCAGGTCTCTGTGTGCATAACAACAATAAATCTTTAAAATAAAATAAAAATAAATCTTTTTTTAAAAAAAATAAATAAAAGGCCCTTCCTTTTACTTACTTAGTTTGAACCCAGGTGTCATGGTACATACCTGTAATCTCAGCCCTTGGAAAGTGAAGGAGGGAAGGTCAGAAGTTTATGGTCTTCTAGCATTATAGCAAGTTCAAGGCCAGCCTAGGCTCCTTAAGACCCTGTCTCAAAAGAAAGAAAAGAATTACTGTTTTGTTTTATTGTTTTGTTTTATTCACCATACTGTAACAGCAGTGTAGGAGTTTAGTGGCCCTGAGGTGTGTGGCTTCTAGTACGGAGGCCCAGGAAGTGCTGGGAAAAAGGGTGTTTTCAAGTCCCAGAGGTCCCTGTTCTCACTACAGGGAAGTGGGTGCGCCCTGCTTCTGCAGCAGGATGGCCTGCTAACCTCCATGTGGTCATTTCAGAGGCCAGAGGCTGATGAAGGGAGCAATGTGCAGTATTTCAAGGCTATGCTCTCTAATGTGCGAACTCACATTCACATAAGGAAAATTGAAGGGAAGAAATTAAGACTAGTTGGTATGACATATGCATGTTACTGTTGATTGCTTCTGCTCAACCAGTACTTAATTGCTGCAGAAAGTTGGTATTTTTAGAAATATCAATGAGATTCTTGTTTAAAATGGTATCTCCACTTGGGGTGAGGATAAGAAAAGCTTGTAAACTTGGTCTGACTTTGCTAGATGGGAATAATTGAACAGTAACTTCAGATGAGTTTTGTAAAACTGCTGTTGCCAGCAGGGCGTTGGTGGCGCATGCCTTTAATCCCAGCACAGAAGCAGACGGATCTCTGTGAGTTCAAGGCTAGCCTGGTCTACAGAGCTAGTTCCGGGACAGCCATGACTACACAAAGAAACCCTGTCTAAAAAAACAAAAACAACACACATACAAAAAAAAAAAAACCCTGCTGTTGCCCCTCTTCATTGGTACAGGTTGGCACTGCAGGAGCTTCTGGCCTTACGTGATGGGAGAAAGCTGGAAAACACGCAGGCTTGTGCGCTCCGTTTGCTTTCTTTTCTTTTTTTTTTCACCCTTGGTTTTTCAAGGGTGTAGCCCTTGCTTTTCTGGAACTCTGTAGACCAGGCTGGCCTCAAATTAGAGGCCACCTGCCTCTAGTTCATCTGCCTAAACCCACCTGCCTCTGTCTCTCCCAAGTGCCAGGATTGAAGGCATGAGCCACCACACCTGGCTAACTTTAAGCTTTTGTGTCAGGGTCTCTTTGGGTGTGGTCCCCATCTGTCTCTGAGGAGTTAATGGGCTGACCCTAGGGTGGGATGGAGTACCTGCGTGATTGCATTCAGGCCACCTCTCCTTATGTTTAGGGATGTGACACTAGTGGGTTCAGCCCGTGCAGGACCATGATTGGCTTTTTAAAATTGACAGATTGTGATTGTATGTATTGTGTGATGTTTGGGTGTGCATACATTAGGAAATGATTAAAACAAGCTAGTTGATGGGCCCATACATTGCTTCCCACCCTCACCCCCCCTTTTTAATGGTGTGAACATTTCAGATCAGTTCTCAGTAGTTTGGTGTACTCGTTTCATTGTTGATAGTTGTGCAGGAGACTTTAGGGACAGTTCTAAGATGAAACTTCATGTACGTGGCCAGTGTGTCTCTATCTCCCCAAGCCCAGTGCCCTTCTCTTTGCTTCTTGCTAGCTTTGTGGTTCTAGTTGTGGAAACAGGCAGTATCTGTCTTTCTGTCCCTGGCCTATTTCAGCTATCGATGCCCTTCAGGGACTAGCTTTTTATTACTCTTTTTATATCAAATAAAAAGACTAAAACACAATACCAAGTACATTGTGTTTTTAGAGCAGGTATTATTTCTGTGAAGCCCATTTTTCAGGTATATACACAGTGCTTATGCAAGCTGGATACTTTTGTTTGTTTTTGAGACAGGGTTTCTCTCTATAACAGCTCTGGCTATCTTGGAACTATCCCTGTAGACCAGGCTGGCCTCAAACTCACAGAGATCCGCCTGCCTCTGCCTCCAGAGTGCTGGGATCAAAGGTGTGCACCATCACTGCCCAGCTTAAAACTATTTCTTATATATGTTCTCGCCAAATCTGGAAGCTGCACTTGTAAAAGATTGGTTTTCAGTGAGCACTTTACAAGCAGCCCCTTGTTCTGAAATTCAGTTGATCCCTCCCCAAGCCTTCCTTAGCAGCAGGGAGAAACAAAAATAGCTTGCAGGGTTCCCTGCTAGCTCTCCAGAGTCCCCCCCCCTTTCTGTGTGGAAGGGCTTTTCTCCTGGACTCCTTTTAAGAAGCCAGTAGAAAGCTTATATTGTGAAATTTTAATTACTATCATTATCGTTAATTAATACCAAACCCTTTTTGTTAAACTAATTGAAGAATTTCTTTCTCAGGTTTCCTTACTGCAGAATGAAAGCGTTGAAAAAAACAAGAGCATACAAAGTTTGCACAATCAGATATGTAGCTTTGAAATTGAAATTGAGAGACAAAAGGAAATGCTTCGAAACAATGAATCCAAAATCCTTCATTTGCAGGTGAGCACCCTGCCTGGTGGCAAGCATCACTGAGTTCATGCAGACAGAAGGGCTTCTCTTGCTTGTGTGAACACTCAGGGACAACTGGGTCAGCATGGACCTGCCTAGGAAGCTGACCCAAGACAAAACTCTTCTTCTGTCTTCAACCCACTGGAACAAAGTAAAACTTAAAGCCCTTTGTTTTAAAAATTAGCTGTTTTAGCCCATCACTGGCCTGTGGTGCTGTGCACCTTTAATCCCAGCACTTGTGAGGCAGAGGCAGACAGATCTCTCTAAGTTACAGGACAGCATGATCTACAAAGCAAGTTCCAGGACAGCCAGGGCTACAAAGAGAAACCCTGTTTCAAAACAACTTAAATAAATAAAGTGAAAAAATTAGCTGTTTTGGATGGGGTGTAGCTCAGTGATAGAACATTTGCCTAGCATGTGCAAGGCCCTAGGTTCCATGCCTACCACTGCAAAAAGAGAGTGTGTAAAATCTGTTTTTATTACTGTTTAAGGTAACATTGTTCATTAGTGCTTGTGTGCCAAGTTTCACTTCCTAAAGTGAAATCAAGCCGAACTGCTTTGTTCTGAGTTCTCATAAACACACACACACACACACACACACACACACACACACCTAAATTTATTTCACCATAATTATCCAGAGATACCCCCAAAACAATAAATACATAAATTTTTGCAGGGCTAAAGAAATACATCTTTGGCTGAGATCACTAGCTACTCTTGCCAAGGACTGGGGTTTGATTCCCAGAACCTACATAGTGACTCACAGATGTGACTCCATTTCCACAGACACTTGTGCCCTCTTCTGGCCTCTGTGGGCACTGCATGCATGTGGTGCTGAAGGTGTTAAAGGAAATAGAATTGAAGTACGTGTATGTGCATTTTGTTGGCCCAGGAAAAGGGGTTGTCCTTTGTTTTTTAGGGTTTTCATTTGTTTGCTTGTTTTTGGTTTGTTGTTGTTGTTTGAGACAGGGTTTCTCTGTGTAGCCCTGGCTTTCCTGGAACTCAGAGATCCTCCTGCCCCTGCTTCTGAGTGCTGGGATAAAAAGCACCAGCCAGCTTGAAGTTAACAGAATACTAAAGAACAGCAGGGTATGGTGGCACATGCCTTTGATCCCAGCACTTAGGAGGCAGAGGCTGGACAATCTTTGTGAGTAAAAAGGAACATGTTTGGGACTTGGGAAAGGAGTCATGGTAAAGGCTTGTCACACACAGTTCAGTTCGGCAGGACCTGTGTGAATGCTGGGCAGGCATGGCGACCTGCTTGTAAGGCCAGTGCTCTAAAGGCAGATCTGCTGGCTAAATAGGTGGCAGCAGTGAGCTCTGGGTTAGGTTGGAAGACCCTCCTGGAAAGAGTAAGGTAGAGAGCAAGCAAGCAAACAAGGAAGACTCTACAAGTCAGCCTCTGCCTTTGCACGAGTCACCCTCACTGTGTGACTTGCACAGGCAACACCTGCACACGCGCACACACACACACACACACAAGAAAATGTGTTTGGGTTTTGACACCCACCCACCCCCAGTACTGGGATTGAACCCAAGTTCCTGAACTGGCTAAAATCTACTCTGTACTTTTTATATTGAGACAGGGTCTCACTGAGTTACCTAGGCTGAGCGTAGTACCCTGCGTAGCCCAGGTAGACCTCGTACTTGTGATCTCCATTCTTCAGCCGTTTCAATAGCTGGGATTACAGAGCTCTGCCACTAGGCCCAGCAAACCAATTTTTCTTTATCAAAATGGTAGCCTGGGGACTGGAGAGACGGCTCAGTGGTAATAGCGCCACTTGTTCCTCCAGCGACAACGTAGCCACTCACAGCTGTCTGTAACCCCAGTTCTCGGGAGCCCGACACCCTCATGCTAACATTCATGCAGGAAAAACACTAATGCACTTAAAATAAAAATAAATCACTCTTTTATAGAAATGGTAGTCGAGTGTGGTGGCACACAACTTTAATCCCAGCACTCAGGAGGCAGAGGCAGGTGGATCTCCATGAGTTTGAGGTCTACGAAGTGAGTTAGTTCCAAGACAGTCAAGGCTACACAGAGAAACTCTGTCTCAAAAAAGAAATAAAAAAGTATCCTGGATGGAGAGTCCAAGTCTATCCTGGGCAATTTAGTGATATCCTGAATGCATAGCTAAGTGGTAGTGTGTTTGCCTAGCATGCCTAAGGCCCTGAGTTCCATCTGGAACACTTCAAGGGATATTTAAGTAAGAGACAGAGGAGGGGAAGACAGACAGACAGACACACAGAGAGAGAGAGAGAGAGAGAGAGAGAGAGTATGAGAGAGAGAGAGAGAGGGAGGGAGAGAGAGAGAATATGCCGGTGGAGGGCTCGGTGGATAAGGGTGCTTATCGCCAGGTCTGACAACTTGAGTTAGTCTCAAAACCCATGATAGAAAGAAGGGTTTGACTCCATGTGTGTGGTGGTACATGAACACACACATTGAAAAAAAAGAGAGACAGGTTATGCATCACATGTCCTTAGTCGCAGGTGCCTGAGAGGCTCAGGTGGGAGGGCCTCTTGATCTGAGCAGCATGTGTGATCCATGACTCAGAAGAGGGAAATCAAGCCTGCTGAGTCATAAATTGAACTGCACATGCTGCTGCCAGTTGCTAAATCCATGCAGTAGGGTTCAGGTGGAGTGAGTGTCTCGGGCCTTACTCTTCTACAGTCCATATGGAGCTCCACCATGCTCTCACTGAACAGGGTTGTGTGGCCAGGGCCTTGTGACCTGATAGTGACAAGGGATAGCAAAGGACATTTACTGCAGCTCTGAAGTTAGGTGCATACAGCTGGTCATCTGATTATCTAAGAGCAAGCGTGGAGTTGGGGTTGTTTATTGTGTGTGCAGACTGCTGCTTCCCAGTTCCTGAGCTTGCAATTTAATCCACACGTGCAATCTGCACTTGGAGTGTGCATTTATAGAAACACTCAGTGGCTGAGAGCTCACCACGGCACTTCAGGAATTAAGTCATTTGTTATTCACAGAGAAGTCTTGACACAAACCTGTACTCTGCTTTAAGCTGTGTTGGTTTTGCAAGTGAAAGGTCTGTCTGAAAAATAGCACATTCCTTTGCTGGGGTGTGACTCCTAAGCTGTTTGGGTGAGCTCATCTGTGTGGGGCATGTGCCTGCACACACATACATGCCTCAGTCTCTGCGTTGTTTACCAGCAGTGGCCTGTACTATTGGGAGAGCTTCATGGCCAGTGCAGCAGTCTGGTCTCCTCAAGTGCATGCCACTTGGGGCTGTGGCGCTCAAGTGACTAAATGGCTTGTGCTAGGTCATGTTGCTAATCAGGGCTTCCTCCTTGGTCCTCTGAGAACCAAGGACCATCTCTTCCACCACCGTCAGGCTTTTCCTTTTTATCAGTGCTCACAGTAGCTTACTTTATGAGGGCAGTTCATTCACAGAACACCATGGCTGTGGGTATGCATTAATAGCATACCCAGAAACAGTTCTTATGGAGCCATATATTCCTCTGATTATACATTCTTGTTGAAAGTAGACATAGGTCTGGAAAGATGGCTCACAGCCAGAAATAAAAAGACATTGACATAGCAGGGTTTTTTGAGGATTGAAGATATCATCTATGCTGTGTGTGTGGGTTCTTTATGTGTTCATGTATGTATGTGTGCCAGGAGGGTAGAAAAAGGGCCAGGTGTCCTGGTCTTCACTTTCTACCTTATTCCTTTGAGATAGAGTTGCACTACATTGGAGTTAGGGTGGTGGCCAGAAAACCACAGTGCCCTCCTCTCTCCTTCCACAGAGCTGGGGTCCCAGGTACGCACAGCCATCTCCAGCTTTGTGTATAGATGTTAGAAGTTTGAGTTTGTGTGCTCACATTTGTACAGCATTCTTACCTGTTGGCCCCTCCTCATCCTTCTTAAACGTTGGCATCAGGGAGGCTCGAATCAACCTTTCACTCTGTTGAGAGAATCCAGACCTGCCTTGTCTGTTCCTTCCTGGTTAGTCACAGCCAACAAAGGTGCCGACACCCAGAGTTCCAAATGTAGACCTGCAAAAGAAGAAGTGAAGACGGGGCTGCCCCTGGGACTGCCCCCTGAGCACCCTGAATGACCAGTGGCTTCAGGGCTACCCCGCCGCCTTTGGACTCCTGTAGACTCTGCAAGAATAGAAACTCCAGATCCATCACAGGGAGACAGACAGGTTGGAGCATAAAGCTCTCCCTGTTACTGTTACTCAAACATGGACAGCTCTTAAGCACCCAACTGGAGCATGAGTCTGTTACCCTCACAAGTGGAGTGGTACGTTTCTATAGAAAATGTTTCCAAGTCACTTAAATTAAGACAGTGCAAAATTGGCAGGCCCTGTGTCAGGACAATGTCTCTGCTTGCATACATCCTGGTTCCCCTGAGTGCAGAACCTACTCTCCTAGGCCTGAGGACCCACAGCAAGCCTTGTCTGACCACCAGTGCTCAGGGTCTCTGGTAGAGCCGAGATAGAAGGAGCTCTTTTATTCCCTGGGCGTTAGCAGTTCTAGTGTCCCCTCCATAGTCACAGGACAGAAGCAGCACATGGGTTCTGAGCCAGGCAGTAGGGCAGGCAGACAATGCCATCGTCACCCTGAACCGGACTCCCTTTGAATGGTAGACACCAAAGGTCTTGGGCCTTTAGAATCTTCTGTTAGTCAGACGAGGCTTTGACCTCAGTCCCTTCTCCTCTGTTCCTGTGGCCACCTATGGTGCCAGAGTACAAGATACGAGGCTTATGGCAGTCAGGCAGGGAACATCTGTGACTTGAGGTCAGGGTCACAGCCAGGGTTCTGAAAGGAAAGCTGGTGGCGTTGCCAGGATGCAGGTGTGTGACAGACAAGCAGTTTGGCCTGGGACCGGGAGGCTTGTGTGGATGCTATGGGCAGGGGAAGGAAGAACTTCTGGGCCATGTGCACACTGTGGCTTGGGTATTGTCCCCTTTCATCTGACCCAGCCCTGCCCTTCTGGTGACTTAATAAAAACACTGTAGGCTGGATGTAATGGCACATTATCCAGGCACTTCGTTCTGCGCAAGTCATTTTGTTTGGTTGGTTTGGTTTGGTTTGGTTTTTGGTTTTTTGAGACACGGTCTCTCTGTGGCCTTGGAGCCTGTCCTGGAACTCTCTCTGTACCCATGCTGGCCTCAGACTCACAGAGATCCACCTGCCTCTGCCTCCCTAGTGCTGGGACTAAAGGTGTGCACCACCAACACCTGGCCTGCACAAGTTCTTCCCAGGAGGCTGGCAGGTGTTAGCACTGGATGTACAGGAGGTGACAGCTTCCCCTGGCATTTAGAGGGTGGCAGCACAGATGCCCAGAGTTCTCACTGATTTTTACCCTTAACCCCTTTGGTCTGGAAGCGAGTAATCGATAGCCAAGCAGAGAAACTGAAGGAACTGGACAAGGAGATCCGTCCCTTCAGGCAGAGCTGGGAGGAAGCAGACAGCATGAAGAGCAGCGTGGAGTCCCTGCAGAGCCGCGTGACTGAGCTGGAGAGTGTGGACAAGAGTGCTGGGCAGGCGGCTCGCAACACAGGTGAGGCACAGGTGTAGCAAGCTAAGAGTTCTCCAACGGAGACAGGGTTTCACTTAATGTGTCCCTCCAATGAGCTCCAGCATGGCAGAGTGCAGAGCCCCACCCCCAGAGAGGCTGGGTTATAGGGTGCCAAGGCCTATCGGTCTGGGTGCTCCTGACACACTCTGAGGGCCCAGAGACAGGAGCAGGCCGGGCAGGGGAGGTGGGCAGAAGTGTGCCTGCAGCTTTGAGTCTGAGTAAGCGCAGTGATGACTTACAGGGAAGGGTTAAGGAGTAAGGGTAGATTATTGCGGTACATGGGTTGGATTAAGCAGATGGAGGGTGTGTGGTTAGAATAGAATAGAAGACAGCTTAAACCCAGAGCCTAGTGCCCCTGTAGATGCCAGGGCCATAAGGCAGAGGAGCACGAGGTAGTAGGCAGCCAGGCTCTGACCGCTGCGGCCTGACAGCTGGTACACTATGGCCACCGGAGGGAAGGGGAAGGGAGACATAATGCCGATGCCCCTCCTTGTCCACTATGCACACGTCTGCCCTCCGCAGTCACAGTGACATCTGTGGGCTGCTGTCTCAGACACTGGTGCATATCTGCCTCTCTGATGTGTATATGACTTGTTTGCCAAATGTTTTCTTGCCTGTGGCAGGCTTGCTGGAGTCCCAGCTGAGCCGGCATGACCAGATGCTGAGTGTCCATGACATCCGCTTGGCCGATATGGACCTGAGGTTCCAGGTCCTTGAGACCGCCAGCTACAATGGCGTGCTGATCTGGAAGATCCGAGACTACAAGCGCCGGAAGCAGGAGGCCGTCATGGGGAAGACCCTGTCTCTCTACAGCCAGCCTTTCTACACAGGCTATTTTGGCTATAAGATGTGTGCCAGGGTCTACCTGAATGGGGACGGAATGGGAAAAGGAACACACTTGTCGCTGTTTTTTGTCATTATGCGTGGAGAATATGATGCTTTGTTGCCATGGCCGTTCAAGCAGAAAGTGACACTCATGCTGATGGATCAGGGGTCCTCTCGACGCCACCTGGGAGATGCATTCAAGCCTGATCCCAACAGCAGCAGCTTCAAGAAACCCACTGGAGAGATGAATATCGCTTCTGGCTGCCCAGTCTTTGTCGCCCAAACTGTTCTAGAGAATGGGACGTATATTAAAGATGATACAATTTTTATTAAAGTCATAGTGGATACTTCGGATCTGCCTGACCCCTGACAAGCAACCGGGGAGGTGGATTCAGCAGAAGGTAACTCCTCTGGGGGGTTGAAGCGGTCTGTCTTCACGAAGGTCCTCGCCCACAGAAAGGACCATGTGGGACAGGGTAAGCAGCCGGAGGAGGAGGATGCGTGGCTGGCAGGAGAAGCCACACGTGAAAAGAGACCCCAACGGATTTCCTAGTAGACTAGCCACACTCACTCTGAAGAATTATTTATCCTCCAGTAAGATAAATATTGCTGTCAGAGAAGGTTTTCATTTTCATTTTTAAAGATCTAGTTAATTAAGGTGGAAACATATATGCTAAAAAGAAACATGATTTTTCTTCCTTAACTTGAACACCAAAAAGAAAACACACATGGAGGTAGCTGGATGTGTCAGCATGTTAATTTAAAAGGAGAACTTATGAAATAATAATACAATTCTGATATATTCATCCTAAAATTCAAGAGTGCAATCTTGTTTCAAATATAGTATATTGTCTATTTTTAAGGCCTCATCTGGTCTCTGTTTTAATAATTTGTTTGTCAGAAGGCCCTGAGTAGACAGAAAGTCCCTAAATTCAGAAGTCATTTTTAATTTAAAGTTTTACAAATAATTGTTACTGCAAACATTTTGTTTTAAAACGTTGATAGACTGATATTTCTTGGAAGAAAATGTAAAATATCAAACACTGGTTATCACTTGTGATAGGAAAGAGAATATTCAAACTGTCGTTATTTCTCGTTAGAAATGTGACCCTTCGATACCTGTTGTAGTTAGTGACACTATTCACAATGACTGTGAGAGGGGACAGTGCTCATGGATGCTGTGCATCGTTTCAGACGTACAACTGTTCTCACCCTAAAATAGGGCATTAGTTGAACTTTGGAGTTCTAAACAAAGTCCTGTAGATTTTTAAAATTCTGCCCCATGTTTAGACAAGCTCTCTCTGTTGCTGACAGCACCAGCCGTGATCTCCAGTGTCCAGTGTACCGGGATAGGCAGGTGACCCAGCAAGTGTTTCTCATACTGTCATACTGCTGCATTCGGCTAATGCTCTCCGGAAGCAACGTCTGTGCTCAGAGATGGTGGCATACGGTACATGTGCCTTAGATGTGACATGCTGCTTCTTGTCCCTGGGTTTGCATTCACCATGGTTCTAGAAAGTGATAGTTTAACCAGATCTCTCTCTCTCTCTCTCTCTCTCTCTCTCTCTCTCTCTCTCTCTCTCTCTCTCTCTCTCTCTCTCTCTCTCTCCACCACCAGATCTTTGTCTCTGCTAGGGCCCTCAGACAACTCCAAACCTGCCTGGGGGGAGCCAGGCCTCCACTGGCCGCTTCTGGAGGCTCTAATATTCAGATTCCCACTCTAGACCCCAAGAGCAGCCCAGTCCCACCCCAGGGGTCTCCACCCAGAAGCCACACCCTTCCAGGTCTCCACAAGGACTGTGAAAACCCCATTCCCCATAGCGTGAAGGAGAAACCCCCTGCCCTAAGCATTCCCAAGACCGGACCACTGGTCTGGGGCCTGCCCTGGCTGGCCCACAGTGGCCCTGGCCTCCCTGTAGAAGGATGGTCAGTGATGCCCCAGCCTGTCCCGCCCAGATGGCACTCTGAGCTTACTGTTTACGTCCCTCGAAGGTCCAGCTGTGATAGAAGCCTGGAGCCCTGCCTCGGTGCCCCTTTCGCTATGCACCACGCTTCATGGTGCTCTCACACTGATGGGTGCTACACGCGACGGGTGCTTCTTAGGCAAAACCAGTGTGTGCGAGCCACCACATCTGTGCCACTTGCCCAAAAGGCGCGCCCACAATTGGCCAGCTGGGCCCGCGCTTCAGACTGCCTGCCTCTGGGCTCTCCCCATGGTCGCGCGGGGACAGCTGGGTTGGTGCCCGGTGGCCCACCTTGTCTCTGGTGCTGCCGTCTGCCTGGGTGTGCCTTTGCCCCAGTGCCTGCTGGAAGTGCCCTCCTCCTGCACACCTGTCCCCATGTTTCCACGAGTGACCTGGTCTCCAGCACTTGCCCTGCCCTGCCCTGCCATGGCTGAAACGTTTGGTTCTAAGCCCGTTACTCCTTCCATTCTCCGCTCTGCTGGGACCACTTTGGGGTAAGTCAGTGGAAAGATTGCAGAGCCCGTGTCCTTTTAGAGGTGCCCTCTTCCTCTGCCAGGCCTGTCCTCCAGGGTTCTTCCCCAGAGACCTGGGGTTGGGAGGACCACCTGGCAGTCCTCAGCTGGCCTCAGGTAGCTTTGCATGGCAGCGTCACCCCTGCAGCACCCTTTGAAGAAGTCAGTTCAGTGCCAGTGGGTAGAGGCCGGCAGCATCGTGGGCTGTTAAAAAGCATGCCTGTCTTTAGGATTAGAGCCTGGTATGAGGTCCCTCCCTGGTAGTAAAACTTCTACAAGACTCTCCCTATGTGATAAGCGCCCTCCTGGCCTTCCCCTGGGTTCCTGTGGGATGTGAGTAAAGAGACTAAGCAACTGTTGTCCCCTGGGATGAGGGCCTAGCGTGTGACAGCTTTCTGTTCTGTAGTGTCTTGCATTCCTTGGTAACAGTAGAATAGTGGGCAAACTTATACCTTCGTGCCCTGTCTCTCAATGTGTGAAGGGCGTGCCGAGACGTGTCTCCTAGGAGGTGTGGAGTGCATCACATCCTCCCTGGGTGTGCCTTGCTCTGGTCCATCTCATCATCCCTTGGTGCCCCCTTTGGTGCTCACCACCTGGGCCAGTTTGGGCTGTGGTCTCAGCATAGTTGAGGCCCTGTTGCCAGTTCTGGCAGCCAGCCCTCCCCATCTCACAGGGTCCTGGCCACACAAAACACAGGGTGGTCATGTGGTATGTGTACCTGGCTTTGCAAAAGTGTCAATCGCTCGTCCTTTAAAGGGCCATTTGTTCCATGGCCTCCATGAGGAAGTTGGACACAACTTCTGCTTACCTGAGGCAGTATCCCGTGCCAGCTCAGAACTGCCCCTGGGAAGATGCAAGCCACTAAGTTGCAATGTGTCTTGAGGCCTGACCCATGGTTTTTGTGAGTAGCTGATAGCCTGTGTCAGTAGCAACCCAGGACAAGGGTGGCAGTGAGTGCCTTCCTCCCTCATTGGTCAGGAAAAGGAAGGTAGCCTGAAGGGCCCTGGGCTGGGCCTCCCTTTACTTCTTGGGGACAGACAGTCCCAACGGAAGCCGTGTAGCATGCCAGGCTGTGGGTAAGACAGAGCAGCGGGTGAGATTGCGGATGGGTGTGTGTGATGGGCTCATTGAGGAGAATAATGCCCACGTCCCAGCCCACCCAGCTCCCATCTGTCTAGACCCATGCTCAGCACTCAGAGAAGCAAAGGGCTGTTGAGAGGCTGCACCACATCTGCCCCCTGGAGTAGCCTGTGCACAGATGCACAGTGTCCCTAAGGCAGCAGTCAGCGGGGGAGGTGAGTGCCTACTGCCGCCCTGCCTCCGTTTCCTCCCGGGACTGGGGCTCCAGGAGCTGTGGCATGATACACTGCTGTGGCTTTGCTCCCTGGGCAGCCTCCAGCAGGGCTCAGACCCGCCACCACCACATCCCCTTGTAGTTGGTTTTGTCTGACTGTCTGTGGTCAGCCTCATGAGGACCTAGAGGTCAGACACAGTCCTTTGTGGGTAGCTAGCCACCTTCCCTGTTCTCCTTAGTCTGCCCCAGAGTCCCGCCTGGAGTTGGGACCACATGCCTGCTGTCTTGGGCCCAACATTAATGATGCCACTATAACTAAACAGTATATGTAGCAGTCACCCATGGCAGGCCTGACACTGATGGACTGTGTATCCAGCAAAGGGGAGGGTGTCTGGGCGCGCCAAGTAACAGAGTCCTGGGTGGACTACTCCTGCCAGCCCAAGAGGAAACCAGGGGGAGTGTCAACAGCGCGGCCCCTGCCCCCTCCTTCCCCCTGCACACTGCCAAGCATTGCAGGGACAGCACTTGGTACCTGGCCAAGACATTTCCCACCTGACAGGTCCCTGCCCTCCCATACATCCCTCTGCTTGGGACCATCGGTGAATGGAGAAGGGCTTGGTGGAGCTTAGGGTACTATCTCCCCCTTTTTCTTTTCCCTTCTTTTTTAATTTTTAATCCAGCACTTTCCTGACTAGACTGCAGGAGAGCTAGTGTGAGTTCCAGGCATGCCATTGTGTCTGAGTGTGTGTGACAAATGAGGGTCTACCCCCAAATCTTCTCAGACTAAGATCATGGTTCTGTCTTCCGTTTGCAAATCCATAGCAGCTCTTTTCTCCAAGCTAGAATGTGTCCACGGGCTCTGGGTCTGGTGAGGTGATAGTCGGCAACTGACCCAGCCATCATTACCCATGTCACCCCAGCTGATATTGGTTGCCATGGGCACTGTGGCATCAGGGAGCCAGGTCAGTGAGGACAGTAAAAAGAGGCCAGCAGCCTGGCCCAAAGGTCTGGACATATCCCAGCCTGTTGCCCATTTGGAGGGTTCCCTGGGCACCATTGCTAGGCAGGTGGGCAGGGACCCACACCAAGCTAAGCGGGCCCAAGCAGCCAAGTAGAGTATATGATTCATTTCCCCTGCCACACCATGTCTAGAGTCTTGTGAGTTCACTGTGGAGAGGAGGTGACAGGTGCAGGGTCACTGTGCCACTCTGTAGTCAGTGGTGACTGGTACACACCTTTAGTCCCCTTAGTCAAGTAACCTTCAAAGGCAAATAAATGACCTAATTGGAAAACACAAAAGCCGGCCTTCCTTCCGAGGAGTTGCCTGCGGGAGTGGGGTCACTGCAGGCTGTTGTGGAGATGGCACGCCTCTTGGGTTTAGTTCTATTACCCAAAAACAAAGACCAAAGAAGGCCAATCTCATTTGACTGTATTTTTAATCTGCCTGTGTTGACACTTGCCGTCTGTAGTAACCGCTCGCCGTGAGGTTCCATCTTGACAGTCCAAGTGAATGTGACCAGTGATTAGCGTCCCGTGTTCTTCCGCTCTTCTAAGAAACCGACAGTGTGAGTTATTGCTCAGCAATAATCCTGTCACTAGGTTAGCAACATGTCTCATCTTCCTGATAGCATTATGATGTTTTTGTATTCTGTTTACTGTATGTTACGTGTGGTTTCATTTGGTATTTATTTGTGTTTTGAGGTCTTGCGATGTTTCTGTTCTGCTGCTAATAATAAAGTTTGTAAGACTGTAGAATGCAAAATTTTGCAATGCTAAAGTGTCTGTTAGAGAAAAATAAAGCTGATTTAAGAGTCCTGCTTCCCTGTTGCAGTCTGTCACTGCTGGGCTTTGGGTTGGGTCTCCTGCAGGTGTTCTCACAAGTGACTGAATGACAGACAGCTGCCTGGGTACACTCTGGCTAGAAGGGGCCACCATCCTGAGATACTAGAAGGTTCTGGGCAAGGCCTGCGTGTTCATGCCTGTGGCCGTGGGGGATTGCTGCCCATAGCCAGTGATCACTCGGCACCCACTACCTGCTCTACAGAGCGCTGCCAGGTAACTAGAACTACAAATGGAAACGTTGGAGACTGGCAAGTTTGGTGTTCTGCCTCTTCTAGAAATAGACAGTAAAAGATAATAATCAATACACCTCTTTTTTTTTTTTTTTTGTCCCCGCAAAACAGGGTTTCTGTATTGCTTTGGAGCCTGTCCTGGAACTTGCTCTGTAGACCAGACTGGCCTGGAACTCACAGAGATCCTCCTACCTCTGCCTCCCTAGTGCTGGGAGTAAAGGCATGTGCCACCAACGCCTGGCTCAATACCTCATTTTAAAGCTTCTGGAGAAGTCTATGCCACGTTCACTATCCTGAGCACACCCTGCCATGGTGAATTCTCCTATAAGCGCTTCAGGACGTCTGTAGCAGAACCCTAAGCACAAGCTGGTGGCCCAAGACTCAAGATGAGGGGTGATGCCATGGGGAGTGGATCCTAGGGGACCTCTGGGAGCTGGCAGGGCTTGTGGGTGCAGGCTGAGGCCAGAGACGGAACCTCGACCACACTGATGCACTCACATCTAATCTATGCAGGTCTCTGTCAGGGGTCATCACAGCATCTGTCCCCAAGTTCCTACATGGATGAATCCTCTGGTGGCTTCGGATTGCTGGACCCTACACCTGTTACTGTGGTGCCTCAGTTCACAGGGTACCTGGCACTGCAACCCCTGGGGCGGAGCACACCAGGGCCTCTGGGCTCAGAAGGTTCCCCGTGTGCCCCTAGTTATGGAGTTTAGGGCCCTGCCACTGAGCCCACCACCCCCACCCTACCCACCCTCACCCCACCCCCCCACCCGCCTCTGTAGAGTCTTGAGGGCAGCCCTGTGACCACAGGACCTGCTGAGTTGCTCGGTGGGATACCACCAACCAAATTGCTCCTAGCCAAGCAGCCTTTGTCCCTGCAGGGACCCCGCCCAGGGTGGGGGGGGGACACAAAGGGTGTCCAAGGTGTCCAAGCCTGGCCTCCAGCTGTGGCTCCTCCTGGCCCAGTGACCTATGGCCTTCCAGTCTCAATGCAAAGGAATGGGAGGTGACCTGTGAGGGAGAGGAAGGGCAAAGGCTGCCCGCTCCTTACCCTGAGAGGCCAGTGACTTAACCCTCTGCCTACCACTGACCTCCCACTACCCACAAAGGGCAGCAACCACCGAGTGCTGGCTGCCTTGCCTCCAGAGGCTGGAGAGCTGGCAGCTGCCCCAGCATATCCCAGCATATGAGCCTCAGTAACTAGTCCCAGCCCGCCCCCCTTCACCTCCTCCCCCTCCCCAAAGTGTGTGAAGCCCAGCGTCAGCACCAGCGTGCCCACACTCATTCTAGCTCTTTGCTTGCCTCCTAGCCTCCCATGCCCCTGCCTCAGTGCCTTCATAGGCCCTTTATTTCTGCAGACCTCCTTGTCCAACTATCCCTTGCTTACCCCTCACTGCAGCACCACAGGGCTGTCATTCAATGTTCCCAAAAAACGCTAGGGTAGGCCATGAATTACAATTACAACACCAACCAGATAACAGCATTCATTTAACAGTTTGAATGAACCAATGGGAAGCCTCATGGTGACTATCAGCGGCCCAGTGAGAGAGATGGCTTCCCTGGCGTGTGAAGGTTGACTGTGTACAGATAATCTGATACAGGATGACAGGCCAAAAGAGCAACTGCCAACACCCTGCCTCCACTCCCACCTGGAGTAGTGCTGTGAGTACTCCGAGTCACTCTTTAGGGTTCTGACTTTCTCCTACTTCCTGTGAAGGTCCTGACCAATTCACAAGTATATGTCTATAGTGCCCGAGGGTCTGGGGCTGTGTTTGCAATCAAGGGCTTTCTGTAGACACACTGCACGCTGGTCCAGCCCCTCCTCCCACGCTGTGACTACAGCTGTGGCCCATCCTTCCTGTTGCTGTTTTTAGTGCTACCTCTTACAGGAAGCCTCTCTGCCCGGGCACACTTTCCCTGCCCTTCCTGAGGCTCTGAGCACCCTCCTGGTCACTAGAGCGTGTGTCCCATGGGTCAACTGGCTCAGCAGTGAGAGCCAGAGCCCAATCTGTCACGTGCTTCCTCTCGAGTGAGAACCACACAACGGGCAACAAGAATGTGAGCCCCAGAATTTCCTGTGTGCATGGCCTAGCTGGGGGCTGAGAGGTGCTTTGTCTATGATCTAATAAAGCTTGCCTGCAGATCAGAATGCAAGGCCAGCCACAGCCACAGAGGCCAGCAGGGGTGGCGCAACCTTTAATCCCAGCAGCCACACTAGTCAGAGAGGTAGATAATGGCAGGGGCTCAGGGTCTCATGGGGACATTCAGTCTCTGCAGTCAGGCTGAGGACAGGATCGCCCCAGCCTGAGCTAGTGCCTGGCCGCTCTGCTTCTCTGATCTTCAGCTTGAACCCCAGTATCTGGTTTTTTATTATTCGTGCTACACGGGAGGCCAAGAGCAAGCCCCTCTCAATAATTACCCCTGCTAAGCCAGCCAGGAGAGCTGATGCCCCCTTTGAAGGCAACAACTGTACAGGTAGCAGAGCTGGAGCCCTGGCCAGTTTGGGCCCAACCTGGGTGTGGAAACGAGTGCCCCCTAGTGGATGAGAAAAGCAAAAGTGGAGGGTGAGGCCCCAGCTCTGCAGATGACTCCAGAGAGGAGGGCAGCCCCCCCCTCTATCCCCCTCCCCCAATCTGCCTCCTATCACCCACACAGCCACCCACCATTCACAGGTGCGCCGGCACCCAGGCGTCCGTCCATTCATTACCACGAACTTGAACCCAAGGTGATCTCTCCAACACCCCTGCTGTGGCAAAACTCCCAACAAAGGCAACCTCAGGGAAGAAATGTGTACCTGGGCTCGCGAAGGGCGTGGCTGGGAGGGCGTGGTGCCATGGGGCAGTACTGGCCGCACTGTGGTGTGCTTCGCAGGAAGCAGAGATGAACTCTGCCACTCAGCTTGTTCCCACCGTTATGTTTGGTCTGCAACCCCAGCCCATGGGGTTATCTGACGCAGACACACCCAGAGGCGTTTCCAAGGAGACCAGTGGGACCGACAGTGAGGGTTAACCTTCACGCCCTGCTCGCTCCCATCCCCCCCCTTGCACTTGTCCATTTTGCCCCACCACGGGGACATGCGACTGGGCAGGGCTGGATCACAAGGGACAACTCCCAAGCTACAGGTCTATCTCTGGACCCGGAGGAGCTTCCAGTGGCCTCTTGTCCCCATCCTCCTCCTCATGTCTCCCACGCCACCTACCTCATCCATCTCTACCCATTCACCACAAGAAGCCCACACCTCTGCCTCCCCCTGGTACCTCATCCAGCCTCCCATCAGCAAGTACTTACCAACATCTTCACCCGCAGCAACAGCCAGGAGTTCCCACCCACCGTGCATCCTTCAGAGCCCACTCTCCTCTACCCACCATCCCCACATGACCGATTCGTGTCTGTCTGTCTGTTCTTCACTAGTACCTAGTACCACCCACCGTCAGGCACCGCCGCCACCCATTGCTCCCAGACATTTAATAACCAGAGCGAGGATCTGCTACCCACCCTGTGCTCACGTTAGCACCCCTCACTCTCCACCATCATGCGGTGACGTTTCCCCCCATTGGCCATCCCCACCCATGGTTCACCATGAGCATCTATCTCCTACCCACTCGCCTTCACGCTCCATCCGTGCAGGCACATCACACTCCGTCCTCCCCGCCTGTTCTTCAGAGCCATCACACATGGGCGCTTTGACAGCCACAGAGAAAGTCAGACCAACACCCTCTTACTGGTCACCCAGGGCCCGGGGTCCTAAAGGGTGGATGCTAAGGTCCCTGAGAAGTTCCTCCAAGGGACCTCAGGAGACAGCTGGGCGGGTTCGGAGGTAAATGTGTAACATCTGGGCGAACCCTGCCCCTCAGCCCCGCCCGGTCACATAAGGCTGCGGAGCAAAGTCCGCCATCTGCGACGTGAGAGCCTCAGCGGCGGCGGCGAGATGTGCGCTCCGGCCCGGGTCCTGCTGTGGCTGCAGCTCTGCGGTAGGTCGGCGTCTGAGGCCCCAAGGCTGCTTGTCTAGGCCCAAGGGTCGCGATCTCAGGACAGGGTGGGAGAGGGAGGCGGCGTTCGCAGCCTGCCTCGATTTCCCCGTCCCCTGGCGTGGGCCGGTGAGCCCCTCAATGCCCAGGAGGTGGAGAAACCGCAGCCCTGTCCCTGTGACCTCCCGGGCCCTCGGAGCTCCTCTGTGCGCAGTAGGGACAGGGCCGCGGGCTCCAGATCCGGGACGCCTCTGCACCAGTGCGTCCCAAGCCCTGCAGACCCCACCCGGGGAAGTCGGACTTGGTGGACAGGGGCGACGTCCCGTGGGAGGGCACAATTGCGCGGGCTCTGCAGATCGGCTAAGAGTGCACTGGAGAACGCCGCGCAGTGGGGTTCTCGTGGGGTCTGACCTGCGCTGAGACCAACGCCCGGGTCAGGGCCACCTCGGGGACTGGATCTGCACCGGGGCTGCGGGCACCGCCGCGGCGCGTCCCCGAGGGAGGTAGACACAACCTTCCTCTCTCTAGCACTGACTCGGGCCACCTACAAACTTTGGGTCCCCGACACCTACTTCGATACTGCCTCTAACTGGAACCAGAACCGGACCCCGTGCGCCGGAGATGCGGTCCAGTTCCCGGCGGACAAGGTGCCTTGCCGGGGGGGGGGGGCTGGGGGCGGGGGGCACTAGGGTGGGGGCGTCCTGGGGTGGGAGGTCTTCCAGCCCCGCAGCTGACGCCACCTCTTGCTGCAGATGGTGTCGGTCCTGGTGC